CAGCTTTTAACACAAAAAACTGCAATTGCACAATAACCTTTGGTCGTCTTGCTTGAAAGTCTTTCATGGAATGTTTGTGCCTATGGTAAACAAGCCTGGACCGCCGTCCCTTGAGAAAATTGCTCCGAAAACTGACTACAATTATATCCCCTGAGTTTTGTCGAAGTACTACCCTGTACAGTAATGAATGCAAATACATTATTACTAAAAAAAATCGTGTATACCTGATTTCATTTTCACAGTTTTGTAATAAATACATTTAACATGTGGTGATTGACATAATTATGAAGTGCTCCAATATGTCCTTTCTTTTAGTTTTACTCTCTTTTGCAAATAAATGTGTTACAATACTTTGCTGTACAACCCCATCACCATAATAAAAACACCAACTGCTATAATGACATTAACTTCTACTTAATACATAATAAACACCCCCTTCACCATAACAAATATAAATTGTTGCCCACTTCCCCGGAAATATAAGTGACAATTCACAGGTGTAACATAAATAGGCATGGGCGTCGCGAGGGGGGGGGGGGCACTTCCCCCCCCCCCCCCCACCGAAAAGCAAAAAAAAAAAAAGAGGCGCCAAGTCATAGTGGTGTGAATTTAATGGGTTGGGGGGGCAAAATGTCCCTGCCCCCCCCCCCCCTCTAAAACTGATAAATCGAGAATGTGTTGAGAAAAACAGGCATTTTTGGGGCAAAAACATGTTTTGCCCCCCTCTAGAAAAAATCCTGGCGACGCCCACACAATATCCAACCCCCACCCCCACTGGCTGCCCCCTCCTCTCCTCTGTAGTGAGAACGATGGATACGACGTTGTATAGGCCAAGATCAAACCGCGTTTCATCTAAATTACCTAATTGTACAGTTGGTGTTTACGTCCTTAATGGTTTGGCACCTTGAAAAATCAATGTTCAAATTGACTGGACAATATTCTAGCACAACATTATTTATGAGCTTTATATAATGAGACATCGCATGAGACAATCGGTGGGCAATAAATACTTAATTTCATTCAACCGTTGACAGCAAGACCTTCCTAATCGGCGCGCAATTTAAAACAACATTTAAACGGTATGAATCCCAGCACAAACATAAACCTCCACAATATCAGCGATTTCAATATCACCATCTCCCCTCTATAACAAAAACCATTTCTCCCCATCCCTGGAAATATTTCTCCCCATCCCCGGAAAAATTGGTGACATGGTTGACGGGTTTTCCAACTTGATGGGCGTTCCAACTAGCACCCTTCACCCTAGCTAGCCCCTTCCCCTATATTGAAAATATGTCCTGGACCCTCGCACAGTCTCCGCAGGAAACGTTATGTGCGCGCACGTTGCTAAACGCAAATACAACTTAGGCGAGACTGAATGCAAGTCCAAATAGGCTCGCGTGCAGCAGAGAGTCTGATTCTTTATTTGACTTAACAGTTGTTTAGTGTTATTAGAGTTTAAATTATCGAGATTTCATTGTATACAGTAATTATTACGAAACAGTCAACTCCACCCATCTAGCGGGTGCCGCGCGAAGCGCGGCATCCCGCTAGTTTACTTGATTATAAGGATGTGACCTTTACAGGGTTCAACGTTTAAAGGTACACTACAGTCCATCATTTGAAATTTGTGCATTTTGTTCGTTTGAAGCAACGTGCTCAAAATCTAAAGAAGGGTGCTGAACAACTAACCTGATGAAGTTTCAGCTCAGCTTCAGCTGTATATTTCGAGAAAAACAGCATTCTAGGATCTTGATTTCAAATCAAAAGTTGCTGAATCATGTTTTGAATTGGGCCTGAATTCAGCGTCCGAGATGTATTCTCACTGAGCCGATTGCAGCTACGCGATGTCGCACACCGATCTGATGAATTATAGCAACCGCGCGTGTGCGTCGTGCCAATGCTTGCGGGCGCTTCGCCGAATAACAAAACGAACTTACTAATTTAAATTTTCCTACGGTGCGTCTTAAAACGCACCGTTGGAAAGACCTTCTTTCGTTGATTACTTCAAAATGATAGCTTGCCAGAAAGAATAATTTCACAGGGAGTTTAGTCCACTTACTATCCTCCAACCAAGTATGTTTTTGAACAATATTTACGCCAGTTACTTTTCGGATGCCTGCAAATGATGGACTATAGCTTTAATGCATGGTTCAGGTATTTGACACTGTACACTATGAACAACATAATTAACATTGTGACCTCAGCATGAAAACGGACAGGAAATTAATATGGCGTGCACAAACTGCACCAACACTTTTTTTTTCCGACCATCATTACACAAGTGCATCCTTTTAAAAATAATTCTTTAGTTGGAAGTCTTCTTTTTTAATTTGGTAAAATAACATTGTTTACCCGTTAGTTTGAACAACTCAAAGAGTTTGGTTAATAGAAACTTGGTTATAGGACTGTAACGTTTGCTATAGCTGTGTCGTAGCTTGTCTATTTCAACAAATACTTTAAATACAGCAATACAGGTACCATTACATGAAGCTTTAAAATTTATAGCAAAGCTTGTGTTTTGATTTATATACAGTGAGTGTACATGGAATTGGACATTCCGGCATGGTTTAAGCTTGCAGAAATGCACGTAGGCCTGTGGAACTTACATTGTACATACATGTGCATGTGTGTATGGGACGGTACATTAAACACCTGTGTTAGGGATTACCTACCATACACTGTATGTTCAGGCATACATGTACACGTACATTTGGCCAAATGGCAGTATGGTTTCATACCTACTGTAATCTCATCGACTATTATTACGTAGTATTTAAGCCAACCATTTAAAGGGAATATACAACATTTGCAAACATCAATGAATAAATTTACCAAGTTTTTACGAAATACCTCACTAGGATGTTGGTTAATGACAGTCTAAAGCATCCTGTAAAATTTCGGCACCTGGTGTGAAGTCATTTTCAAGAAAATGGTATTTTTGTATAAATTTCCAACGGTGGTCGGCTGACCACTGTTGGAAAAACCTAACTATTTTTCAACTTCTGCTCAAAATTTACCAATTTTTTTTCAGTCAAACTTTTGTTTGCTATTGGTTACATGTTCATGAATGGGTGCAGGCCAGCTAGACTGGTTCCCTTACCTTACAATTTTCCGGCATCCATAAATTGATCCATTTCATCTTTAGCGGAGTCAGGGAACCAGACTCCTTGAACATTTGTGTTTTTCTAGGCTTTTCCAGCATTTTCGAACACAAAACTTCAAACATGTCAATGTAACAATATTTGATCTATTATACTAACCCCTCAAATAGTTCATTTTTGAAAATTACAGCAAAAGCCAATGATGTACATTCCCTTTAAAAGAATATCCATTAGGAGTGGTTTCTGTTCAAGTGCTATTCAGTCAAATACGGTACCTGTCAACTTCTGACAGACTTGTATGATTGGAGTCTAGATATTGTCCTTGTGTAAACCGGGTTTGAGCACAGAGCAGGGAACATGGTTTGAGGAACCCTCAAAGAGTGGACAGGAACAAACCACCTGTGGTTTATCTTGATAGTGTCATTCAACCAGGATGCATGCTGCCTGAGTATATCAACAGACATGTACACCACTGTAAAGTGAGTGTACATGGTACTTGTTAACAGACATGAAATACATGTATCCCTATAATTGTTAGCAATCAAAGCCACATTTGCAAAGTTGCTGGATGTGGCTCAGTAGAAGCCGATGAACTGAAAAGCTAGAGATTTCCAACGACTTACAAAATGTTTTGCCCTTGGTGGTCGGTACGAGATTGGAAGTTTGTCGACATCATGTAACCGCACTAAAACCATATTCACACTCAACCCATGCCAATCCGTTAATCCGGTTGGTAATTGTGACGTCATTTCAACTTAACCACATGCCACTGGACATAGGAGTAGCATGGAACCGGAAGTAGTGCAAAGTGGCGTTAAGCCAATAGGCGCTCGTAATATGCGCGTGTATGACGCAGTCACTTACAAACCGGATTGACATGTGTAGCATGTCATGGATGTCATTGGAAAGTTTAAGTACATTGTACAAAGAAAAAAAAATTTGGAAGATTTTGGAGGATTCACAAAGGTTTATTGCAAACTTGCCCAAGGATTTTGGGGTTAATAGTTCAGTGGGAATTTGTGCGGGAAATTGCTTTCGAGTCTGGGTGCATGACAAGTCAACACGTGGGTATTGCAAATATTGCATACAAATTCATGAATGAGTCCGATGTTCAGTGGACTTTGCAATGACATCATGTACATGACATCGTTGTTGCACATGTGGGGTTTCCCCTTCTTTCGTATTCATTTCCGTTAGTGAGAACTGGTAGGCCTACATGTTTCATGTTCATGTACATGCTGAAATGGTAGTTGCCTGGTAGTACCGTACATGTACGTGATACCACCAAATTTTAAAAAGGTAATGAATAGTATTTTAAAAGCATGCGATTGTTTTACACATGTAATTTCCCACACAGGTTGAAAATGCTAACTGGCAATGTTATCATTTTGGGTTATCATAATGATTGTCCATCGTCTGGCATTTGATTTCAATGTGCAAGGTTACAGTGCAAGGAATATAATTGGTCTGCACATTACGCAATCTTGTCTCGGTCCGGTCGGGTTTCATTCGGTATGTCGTTGATTTTTGATAGGTGTCTGATAGGGTCCCTTGCCAACCGTCGAAAGTTCAAGAAATATCGTACACATACTGTCGAACTGACTCTTGCGAATCAGTATTTGTGGCGTCTGGCTGTATAACAGAAGTTGGCTGGAAAATTTTGCCTTTTGCAAAAATCGAAATTCTTTTGGTAAAAATAGTCCCTGCGCGAAGTGGTTAATTCACACGGGATTAATTTTGGATGATTGGCTAATTTTGGATAATTAGGAATGGATTCAGGTTTTTTTATCCATCCTGCTGTTTGCGTTTCTCGCTGTTGGATGTTGTATATATTTAACCAAAAAAAACCTGAAGTTTGCTAAATATTCTTTTCCTGTCTTCTCGCTTACCTTTCAGCACCATGGTGGATAGGGAGAGTGCCAGGTTTCGCGCTCAGCAACAACGCCAGATGGAGAGCATCATCACCAAACCTCGGAATCCGTGCGAGGGACCAAAATTTTCAGAACCAATCAAGGTATGCGTTGGATTTACAGCCGTGTCCAAATGAAATTGAGTTGTCTAAATGTTGCCTGAAACAATTTCTTTCATGAAAAGAAAAGTCGGTTGTAAAAAATGACTCTTTAAATATTTGCATAAGTGGGGGATTTCGAAGGATTGAGGGCATACCAGGATTTTGCCTCTGGAGGATAATGGAGGATCCAGGTTAGTAGGCCCAAACTGAGGCTGGATGAAATTGGAGGATTTAGGCACTGGCTGGTTTTGCCCAAAAAACCCATTGTTTTGGGGGATTCAGGATGTTAGTTACTTTATGCATGTATACTTGGGCGTGCAGGATATACCACTGTTTACTGTACGTCTTCTTGACTCCAATTATTTTGGGTCTTAGCGTTGCCCTTCCGCAATACAGAAGAACAAAGAAGGATTCAGTAAATTATACTGGCTAATGAACTCATATATGAGCATTAAAATCTGATTATGGAATAACATGCCAGCAAACCCAGTGGAGGATTTTGAAGGATCCAGGCAGGGGCCTCCAGCGACAAAAAGTGCATAATTTGGAAAGATTCGGGTGCTTAGCATTCTTACCTCTTTGCCAGTAGGGAGCATTCTAGGGAGTTAGTGTTAATCAATATTAACTTTTGCCCTTTACCGAGGTATAAACACTGTGTACTCAGTGTGTTACCCCCCGAGTGAAAGTTAGAAAAAAAATCACTCAGGTGGGACTCGAACCCACGGCCTCCTGCTTTCTGGTGCAGACATCTTAGCACTCGACCACCGAGCTTGCAGGATCGAGTCCCAGCGTTTATCCCAAAGTCAAAATTGTCAAATCTGGAATACTCATTTGACTTATTGTTTCATTCTTCCTACAGACTGACAAAGAGGACAAAAGTATCCAGGACATACTGGGCAGCTTCAGCAAGATCAAGAATGTCATGGAGCCCAGCTCCATGAACAATTTCCTGGGTATTCCCAAGGAGCCTCAGACTCCCGTCGACAACAAGACGCGGCTGCTCTTCGATTCTCCCGGAGTGAATTTCACACCCAACGGGCAGGTCAAGGGCAGCAAGTCTGGTAGTCAGTCGACGAGCGGGTCCTCGTCGAAGAGAGACCAGTCAGGGTCCTCCGCCACCAAGAGCGGCGTGCCGTATGCCAAGAGTGGACACAAGAGCAAAGAGGCTGCCAAGCAAGCCGTCAAGCAGGAGCCACAAGCATCCAAGGGTAGGCCCGGTGGTAGCTCCTTGGTTTCCGCCCCGCCGGCCCCTGGTCGAGGGATTTCCCCAGTACCGACCACCAAGGGCAAAAGGCAAAAAGATGAAGATGTTAAGGTACACATCAAAAAAGAGAAGGATCTCGACCCTGGGAAACCTTTAGACACTAGCAGCAGCAGCAGCAGCAGTGGCAGTAGCAGCAGCGGCAGCAGCAGCGGCAGTCGTAAGACCGCCAAAGTGAAACCAAGTTCAGGCGCGTCAAGTGACAGCAACTCCAAATCGCTGCCCAAGAAAGGCTCAACTCCTGTGAAATCCAAGTCCTCGTCTTCTAAGTCTGACACCAAGCCTGTCCTCAACGCCGCCAAGAAGGAATTCAAGCGGCCAAATGGCGTCGTCAATCACCATCAGCTTGCTCACGCGGGCCTCGACGCAACAGACTCCAGCAAGAACCCAGAGACTGTTTCAGTGAAGCAGGAGCCATGCGCCGTCAAGGAGGAACCCAAGGATTGCCTCGCCGGGGGCGGAGACGAGTTGGGGGCCGGCCTTTTTGCATCCATAGCCAAGAATCTGTTTGGAGACCCACCGGACAGCACGACGGAGAAGAGACCAGACTTCAAGAAGGAGAAGTTGATGGTGCCAAAATTGAACATCCCACCGAGCTTGGTAAGATAAGACATCATAAAGATGGGTGTAAAGAAGGTTGTCCTTGGGACGAACCAAAGTTAAGGGCCTTCTTAGGTGATATCACTATATCAGTCAGTCAATACAGAAAGAGCACAATTATTAGATAACAGAGGAACTTTATCCTGTAATTTGTCAGCGTTTACCTGAATGGACAAGCCCCCCAAAACACCATATTTAAAAAAAATTCTTTTCCCACCGAAATCGGTTTTAAGTGAACAGCAACGAACGTTTTGGAGAAGTTTTCTTGTTCAAAATCAATTTAAATCAACGAAATCATGACAATCAATGTAGGGAAAATTTCACCTGAATCGTATTTTGAGTTCTTCCGAAGAAACAAACTCAAACTCTATTGCGCGCTTGTGGGATTTTAAGTTTTCACAAAGAGACGAATTGAGTGCGCGCGAAGGGCAAAACAACGCGCGTGTGGGATTTTAAGTTTTCAGGAAGAGACAAATTCGCACAAAGGGTATGGGCAATGGCAATGGGTATTGGCAAATTGCCAAAACAACAGGCATGTGGGATTTTGAGTTTTCACGAACAGACAAATCTATATGCAGATTAATTACTCCACAATTAAGTGTTATATTATACTGTAATTGGAACATCTGTTCAGTTTAGGATCTCAGCTTACTATCTGTATCAAAAATTAGTCGGCATATGCTCCAAAAATAGGCGAAATCTTTATTTCGAAAAGTGACCAACTTAAAACCTGGGTTTTTTTTTCAAAACCACTGTTCAACACACCGTGGCCCAATTCGTCCCTTCGTGAAAACGCTGACGAATTTATCCTTGGTTTTTAGTATTGCAGAATCGTTCAAAGCTTCTCCCTAGTTTCGTATTTACACAGAGTATAAAAAGCATTGAAAATCTGCATGCTGAAATACACAGAACGTCCTTTGAAAAATTGCAGGTTTACACTGGAGAAATTTAATTAGTTTCAGTTCTATTTTCAGTTCCGTGCGCGATAGTTATTTTTCTTAGGAGTGTACATACGTCTTTGGAGAACGCATTCGCTGATAATGTGCTGATTTTTTTTTTATGACCAAAAAAAGTACCGGTTCCATTTTTATTTTCATTGGATTGTGAAGATAAAAAGTGGGTTCAGTATGGTCAAAATCCAAGAACAATTTCCGAAGTATGCGCCACTGTTTCCTGATAAAACAATTTGTACACAAAAATTACTGTGTAATGCTGTGAATTTTCTTTCCTGTTTGCTCTCAAGAAACTGTTTTGGCAAAAATAAACATTCACAACATACCGGTAGGTGCATGCCCATTGTAAACAATGTGATGTTGTACAGTATGGGTAAGTCAACAGATCAGACCACTTTAAAGGGACACTGCGTCCTAGAATACGCCCAATTGGGCTGCAAAACGCGTTTTGAACAAAATGATGTTAATCCGAAAGAACATTTAAAAGTGGGATATAAACAGCCACACAACTATCCTTTAAAAACTGGGCGCTTTGTAGTATTCTTATGTTATTCGTGCGAGAACGACTTTCGGGGTCCACTTTTGCGACCCCACAAATTCGGGCTGTTCATGCGAGATGTGATTCCAGCCGTAAGGGTTCGCCTTTTGCGGACGTTTGAGAAATCACATTTTGTGCATTGGTGATTGGCCACCGCTGTTCGTGAGCACGCTGCTGTGTACGTGTGTAATACTAGAGACACACAACGTGTATCGACATTGTATGAAAACGACAGGAAACACGTATCATACTCCGCCGTGTCCGATGTACCGGTAAACAATCATGTTTTTTCCGTCTTTTCTCGGGAACGGTAAGACATAAGGTTGGTTTCCTTTCAACCAGATGTTTGAATAGGATAAGTTAACAATCCAAAAACATGAAATTTTCGGGGATTTCAGGACGCAGTGCCCCTTAAAAATTCTCCAAAACTAATACAAGCCGTTCAGAAAGTTATTTAGGAAACTTGTACATGCATCTAGTGGAAACTAGTAGAATGGCAATTCCAGCGTTACGAAAGGAAACGTAATGTCTGGGACAGAGCCAATCAACAATGATATCTAATGAATGATTCAGAGTAATGATCCAAAACTCCTAGTGTGTAATCTCATCGACCATTAGTACTAGATGATGGATTTGAAAGAGACATTTTCAGGTTGATTCACTGAGCTCTTTAAGAGCGTTGCCATGGACATTTACATGACACTGGATTCCCAGAACAGGAAAGCAATACATATTGGCTATTTAAAGGGAATATATTATATACAACATTTGCAGACATCGAAAAACAAAACTATCAAATATTTACGAAATACCTTACTAGGATGTTGATAAATAACAGTCTAAAGCATCCTGTAAAATTATGGCACCTGGTGTGAAGTCATTTTCAAGAAAAGTGGTATTTTGTATAAATTTCCAACAGTGGTCGGCCGACCACCGTTGGAAAAACCTAACTATTTTTCAACTACTGCTCTAAGTTAACCATTTTTTCAGTCCAAATTTTGTTTGCTATTGGTTACACGTCATGAACGGGTGCAGACCAGCTAGACTGGTTCCCTTGCCTTACAATTTTCCGGCATCTATAAATTGATCCATTTCATCTTTAGTGGAGTCAGGGAACCAGACTACTTGAACAGTTTTGTTTTGCTTGGTTTTTCTAGCATTTTTGAACACAAAACTTCAAACATGTCAGTGAAACAATATTTGATCTATTATACTAACCCCTCAAATAGTTCATTTCTGAAAATTACAGCAAAAGCCAATGATGTACATTACTGTTAAAAGGGAATGTACAACATTAGCTTTTGCTGTTAATTCTCAGAAATGGATGGATTTGGAGGGTTGGTAGTTTATAGCAAATAATGTTACACTGACTTGTTTGAAGTTTTTGTGTTCGTAGGTGCTGGAAAAACCAAGAAAAACAATCGTGTTTCTGTAGTCTGGTTCCCTGACCCCACTTAAGATGAAACGGAGCAATTTATAGACGTCGGGGAATTGTACGGTCAGGGAACCAGTCTAGCTGGTTTGTACCCGTTCATAGGAGTGTGATCAATTGCAAACAATTTGCGGACTACTAAATATGGTAAATTGGGGGCAGTATTTGAAAAAAGCCATTTTTTTCCAACACTGGTCGGCTGACCAACGTTGATACAAAAACAACAATTTTCTTGTAAACGACAGAGCGCCAGGAGCAATGATTTTACAGGCTGCTTTAGACTGCCATTCACTAAACAACAGTACAGTTAGGTATTTCATAATAATTTTTGTTTGCCAATGTTGTTCGCTTTTAGTACATTGCACGATGGAGCGTATAGGTCTCGTTCAAATGACGTCTTTCCTACAGACCATCCACGTGCATCGGCATTTCGAGCGTCAACTTTCATAACGCGCATCAGCTGCGTCGTTTTTCGAACACATTTGGAGCAACAAGCGCTCGTGTGTGGAACATTTTCAACACTGCGCAATGTGTGCTTGATTGCGTAAGATACACAGTTGCACATCTCCTAATGAAATGGCTGTCATTGAACGAGCCCTATTGGGAAGAGATACATGTACATGCATACCGGTACACGTATTTCCTGAGGAAACTATCACTCCTTGGTTTGCATAGTGAGTTACCGGTATGTCAACTGTGCTTTGTATGAATATGCATTCCTAAATACAATGCAGTACCTAAGACAGTTTACCCATTCCTATTGGTCGAGAAGCCTGTCACGTGGCCGGTTTTAAACGGTTGATAAAAGACATGGCTAATGGCTGGCTGTTCTTTAACACTTTTTCAGTGTCACATGAAATTTGGACTCCTACCGGTATGAAATCCAGCACCGTTTTATTGGTTGAACGTTCACAATCCTCACGTAGGCATGTGCAATACTACCAGTGAGTCAGTATTTCGTAGTCCTAATTTCACAAGTACACCGGTGCGTCTGCGTTGTGTGCCACATCACGCAGTACGCGCGACGCGCGTCAATCTCCATAAGGAGTTGTTTACCAGAAGGCCTTACCACTGAATAGTTAGAGGGGTATTTTGTTAATCGAAATCGTTGAAAATTTTATAGTCTAATTTTTGACTTTTTTTTTACTTTTGAACCGAAAAGAGTTGAGTTTTTGACCGAAAAGATATGAATGGGAATAAATATGTGCTCGGTCAGTATTAAACACTCTGTTTAAACACTTTGTTTAAGTCTGGTCGGCTCGGGTAATTATCAGCATCCAGACTCCAACCGGACTTAACAGAGTGTTTAAAACCTCCAAAGCACACATTCACTCTCCATTAACCAAGGTACACAGTGAACAACTGTACACATGTACCGATAAGTACTGGTTAGTGTTGGCTGCTTTCAATACTATCTTATCGCATATGACAGGAAATCAAAATGGTATCGGTTCCATCCCGGAAATTGTCTGCATTGTGTCAAATTCTTCGGTGCGCACTGGAAATAGGCAACTTCGTATTAATACACAAAATATTAAAATTTCAGTTCGATATTTTTCCCTGCGGGTCAGTGGTTTTTAGGGTAAAAAATGCTATAAATAGAAGGCGTTTGTTCCCTCTGTTACATCAAACGACACCAAACGATAATGATATTCAGAGGGACATAAAAGTGATTATGTTGGTAAAATTGAGTGTGGAACTCACTCAAACGTGTCGCCTGCTGTGCGCGTTCTAGACCTGCTGAAAATACAATTATACCCCCAGGCCATCAGGTTGACAATTGGATGTACTGGGTAGTCAGACGATACTAGGAATTGAATAAATATCTTTTGTACACTTGCTGTAAATTTTCTCCTTTTCACGCTGGTGTTATTGTTATTTTTTTTTTCTGGTAATGTCATGTTTTTTTGTTTTTTTAAAATGCCCTGTGATTTCTTTTCTTGTAGGCTTCTTTCAGAGACCCAAGCAAGCAGGAGGTGGAGAAGATTTTGAATGTAAGTTTGCTTTTCTGCTCTGTGCGCCCCTCCCCCCCCCCAAAAAAAAGCCTAAATAATTGAACGTTCGTATTTCTGGGCTTTGTGCCCGCCACAAAAGCCTGAATAATTGAACGTTTGTATTTCTGGGAATTGAATTGAATAAATCATCAGAACCTTTTTGACAGTGTGAATGTATAAAAGGATTTTAACATGAAATGGTTTCTGATTGGCTTTTTACCTAAAGCAAAAAAAAAAAAACTTGGGACGTCGACCCAGAGGTCTTCAGTTCCAATTCAATATTCTCTTTGAAAAATTATTTTCTATTTATTCAAGTTTTTATTTACAAGTTACACCAAGTTTACATCAAGTTACATCAATTTTTTATTTAGATGCTGCTCATGTGCTGGTACATCCACGTTTTATATTTCATTCGCTGCCGGGTTTACAACACGGTACTGAAAATCAACGAGCTAACATTAATAATTAACATTGGTTCTAGCGTTTCACTGCTCGTAAAAATAGTCTCATTTTTTGGTCTGGCGCCAAATTGTAAAAGGACACCATGCTACTTGATACCACTTTTCCTGCTATTAGATGATGACTGAGAACAAGTCACCGTTGACCGCCATTCAGAATACGCCGATTAAAGGCGACGCTTCTTGCAAGTTCCACTTCCTGGCCAGCACACCGGTGACAAAGGTACCCTTTGCTTTCATTAACCCCAACCCCTTGGGCATTTTTGCTAGGATGTAACCTCAATCCTGCATAATCCTCCAACTGCCTCCACGTAAAACTTGCATACAGCCTCAATCCTGCACAATCCTCCGTTATTTCTTGAGTGTGGTTCATGGAGGGGTGACCACTGCCTCAATCCTGCAAAATCCTGCGGCAGTGCTGTCAATATTTTGAGGCAGAGTCAGTGACATCCTGGAGCAGTGCGGAGGATTTCAAGTATAATTTAAGCCTGAAAGTATGCATGGCTGAGCACAGTGTTTCCCCTGGGTTGGTGGAAGGTGTGAGGTGGTAAAAATAAATTTGGTCGAAAACAGACCCGCGAGCGCGAAGCGCGAAGCCCTTGCGGCGTGGGGTTCGGGGCCCGCTTAAGGGCCCCGAAAAATTTTGCATTCTAGACGCTCTGTGGTGCAATGTGAGGCATTTGAGGTCACTTTCTTCTTACTTTTTTGGGCAGTATATTGAATAAAATATTGATATAAATAATTGATTTTTTTTCAAAAAAATCCAACATAGGCCCCTATTTATTTGTGAAAATGTAGGGCTACCACCACCCCGACCACCAGGGAGTCAAGCACTTTTTGGATTTTTTTTTACAACCCTGGAAAATTTGGTATAATTGGAAAGAGAATCACACGACAAAATCAATAACGTTTAAATTAGTTTCATATGAGCTTGCGTTCTGGAGATATAATAGTTAAAATATAAAAAAAGTCAATGAAATTGAAAACATTCTGAAATTTTTAGTGTCAAAATATTATTATTTTAACACCTCTAAATTTTTCGAATCGATCAAAATGTTTAATATCATAAGAATCCTTATAAAATATACAATATTTTGAATTTTGAATCAGCTTTTTATCACTCGTTACAGAAAAGTTATGATTTTTTTCCCCCCGTAACACTAACACCGCGCCGCACCATTGTACGACTGACTCTGGGCCCACACCGCAATGCGACCACACAGCCCGCCGTAACACACGGGTAAAATACTGCTCCATTCACGGTACACACAACGCGGCAACACGGAACATGCACGTGTACGCGTAATCACGCGTTGCGGCATGCCGATAACATCGGCTGCCGGAACGGGCCAGCATTATTTTTTGACAAAAAAACAACTTTCGTGTTCTCCTGAAAGTCCAAGCTTCCGAATAAACCTCATTTCATGGACTTCTTATGCATGTATTTTGAGGATTTTTGATTGGAAAACCGTTACATGGTACCGTTGTGTAGCCTTCGGAAAACGAAAAAATTACATTCACCGATATCGTGATCGCTTGGCAGGCTGAGCAGGGTACCAGGTCATACGTAATGTACGCACGCGTGCTGTGCAACCAACGATCGTCGCACCACTTGCCCAATTGCACATGAGGAGCTCACTGCGAATCAGCCGGAACGTGCGCAGCACTCTGGGACTATCTGCCTTGTTAAGCACGGAGGATCTGCGCGTTCATTTTTAGGATTGCGCAATGTATCATTAAATGGGATCATTGTCACTTCGTCACTCAGTCGAAAATCTCGAGTTGACATGCACCCAGACTCGACCAGTAATATACACACGGACGTTGAAAAGGCTCCATACTAGCTAGAGAATTGGACGTACATGTACATCGTCTTCGTTTACGGTACGAATGACGATCTCAAAGAACACTGAGTCCGGAGAATTCGAAGGTGAAATACAAAGACACACACATAAAATGTACAGATTTGATTATAATTTTTTTTTTTATTCCTTTTTCGTACCCGTGAGGCGGCAACATTGGCCAAAAAAGGCCGAGGGGGCCTCAAAAAGTCCCGAGGCGGGCCGCCTCACAAAAGAATGGGCAGGGGAAACACTGGCTGAGCATCAACAACATGAGGTCCGGCCCAAGACCTTGACACAGTGCATCCCCCCGAAAGCAGCAACACACTTATGCCATGTAGCCTCAAACCTGCAAAATCCTCCGTTTTGCAAAGAGGATTTTGGAGGATTTGGGAAGGTTGGGGTTAACATTTGCTTAACAGTAACCTTCCTCAATCCTCCAAAATCCTTCAGGCGGCTTTTGGAGGATTTTGGAGGATTGAGGCTGAATGGCAGAAAAGTGTCGGTTGATTTTGGAGGATGCATTGCGTCAACTTTGTTTTGGAGGCTCCCAGTATTTATAACTAGGAAGTTTGGGTTAATATATGTTTCGAGAATAAGCCTAGTTAAAGTTTAGATTTGATTTTTTTTCTTTTGTCATGCCAAGCTTCAAAATTTTTTTTAGTTCAATTATATTTTATTATTTCAACTTTAGTTACATTGTACATGCTGTTATTTTTAAAGCAAAGAAACAAATCATTTAAAGATGTATTGCCTTGTTTCGCCTTGATAAATAGATTTTTTTTTTCAATGGATTTTTATAATTCATTTTTGAATGAGACTTCGAACAAAAAGTCCACCGACATTTAGTTATGGAGTTATTTCTTTACATATTTTGAATTTGTGGCTGCCAGACAATAATTCAACCCTGGCAGGTTCGGTTATTTGTGCAAAAAATGAAACCACTTTTACGGAGGGTTGCAGATGCCCCACAATTGGAATAAAGTAGGGTTTTTTCCTGTTAAAACAAAACATATAATTGGAAAATTTGCTAGGAGAAGGAAAAAAAAAATTGTTTTTTGAAGAATAGGGGGTTTGCATCTTTAAGGTAACATGGGCTGTCATTTCTGGAGAGAGAAAAAAAGAGGAAAACAGAACTACATGTGGGCAGTTACACGTAAGCTAGGTAATTGCAGGAAATGCACATGTACAATGTAGAACAATTCCTGGACTGAAGCACTGTCATTTCCTGATTTCGGTGTATTGGAATTTTTTTTCAAGGAAAGAGCTGATCTTTTTTTTCACAGGTTTCAGTGTTGCCATGTGAGGCTGAGTGCTGATAATACAGACGACAAGTGCTTAGATCACGTGTATGTGAAATCAATAGTCATTAGATGTATGCAGGGGTGTGAAATCTCAGCTTTAAAGCTGATTTCAGCTTTTTTTTGTTTTGGATTTCAGCTTTTTTCCTCCCTCACTTGCTGTGTACAAAAGTATAGGAGATTTCCAAAGTTCAGCTTTTTTTACACCTTTTCCAGCTGTTTTCAGCTATTTTTATCAGTGGTCAATCACACCCCTGTGTATGGCTTGAACAGATTGTGTTAATAGTTTTCCTCCGAGTAGCCCCCGCGCCATCGTGTAATATTTATAGTTTAACCCCTAGATGTTTCATTTGACCTATTTTACGGTAGAGTATTTTTAAAATAGGTCTTTAGCTGTGTTTGTAATCTTGTCTGGAAGGCGCTGTGAGGCCAGCTATGTCCTAGCATGTCCACAAATACCGGCGAGCTGCTAATCATATCACCAGAGCACAGCCGCCCGCTAGCACTGCCGGGCTGAAGAATGTCTCTCATGACAGTCTGCACTCTAGACGCTTTGTAAACGAACACCGTCTCTTGAAGTGGTAACCCGCAGCCTCTCCTGTGAATCACTGCAGCGGTATACCAGCTCCTCCCCCCTCCATCGAGAAGTCCCTTGGGGTATTTTTGTCCGCGAGTCTGGATGTATACATCTGAATGTCACCGATGTCAGGCTTGTTATTGCTAATGGCGGCCAAGAGAGGGCGCTCTATCAAGTTAAGCTGGGCCAAGGTTCAATGCCATGTGCATGGAGCTTGTGTGGTGAATCATTTGACTTAAGACATCAGTGTAATGGAGGGGTGGGGCGGGCCCGGTCAGTGTCTTACCCGGTACTCCTGCCTTGTGACTCGGAGTGAATAGTACACCAATTTCGTGACTCACAATTAAAAAGAGAGGCTTGGCAATACTATGTGTAAAAACTACGGGATTTAGGCCAAGTATAAAAAAAAATCAGTTGATCGTCCGGGTTTTTTCAAAAAGAGGATGATGAGGGCCCTTTTATTTTTTTTTCCCAAGATGGTCGCCAAGTATTTAAATTAAAAATGGTCGCCAACTTCGATTCAAAATGACCACCAGCTTTTAATTTGCTGTATTATTTTATTAAAGCAAAATACAAGAAACAGTTAGCTTTTTGAGGTGAGGGGAAAAAAAACAACAAAAAAGGGATGTGGCTTGAAAAAAAGATGCAGCTTGAAAAATAGAATGCGGGCGGGGACGATAAATTGTTTTTTTTTTTTTTTTACTTGGCTTTACTTTCTGACCTTCTGGATAAAAAACAACAACAAACAAACAAACACTGAGCTGTATTGTAACACATTTTTCTGCATGTACCCAATTCAAATTATCCTGTTAAATTTTGTTCAGTTAGTATCAAGCTCATCATAAAAACTATTAGTAAAAAACTCTCAGTAAAAAACAAAAAAAGCTCAACTCAAATCATCAAATAATGAAATTTACGTACATGTAGGTTTGTAAAGAACTCGTGGTTTTATTTAGTAGAAATGTGTGGCACACCAGAAAAATCACATGTACATGTATGTGATACATGTACACATACATGTACATGTACATGTGCATGAAATACAAGTCATGGAATCGACAGAGATTTTGAAAAAACAATAAATGCGAGCCATTTTTATCAGGTTACGACTTTATTTCTGTGTGCAACTGCAAAAAGGTTGCATTTCTGATTTGGGAGCTAAAAATCCCTCGGCCTTGTAACATTGCACAGCTAAGGCTGCAGGCACAAACGCAAGATACGTAACACTTAATAGGAGACAAATGATGGGCAAACGAGAGCAATACAGCGTTCCATCACGCTTGCATAATTGACACAGTTCCCTCGGCCAATAAGTGGGTTACTCCCACTGCCTGTCCTCCAGGGACGAAGTGAGCCGTTGACATTGTCATAAAGATCAGACAGTATATATAGAGCGGAGAGTGTAGGTATCCAAACATGGCTCCCTGTTGCCCCTTTTTCTTCGTCAGATTTCTCTTAAAGATTTTTTATTTTTTGTCGAGCCTCGGTATTGGACTGAAATGCAGAATTCCAAGATGTCTTTTGTTTTGTACAAAATAAAGCCGTCCGTGGACAAACAGGTTTGGCACATGAAATGTTTAAACTACCATATCTCAGAGACAAAATATATACGCATTTGCAATCATTTTTTCGTCACTTATTTTTAAAGATCAATATTTTAATACCATCAAATTGAATTTTTGAAATAAGCTCAACAACCCAGTATAGAATTTGCACCACTCTGTATAGCTTTACTTTCACAGAAAATAATATTTTATTTTTTATTTATTAATTTTTCAGACTTAAAAAAAAATTGTTAATTTTTGGTTGATATTTAATTGTATTTTACATTCTGTCTTCCCTCTGATAATTTGGCAGAAAAAAAAAATCCCAATTAGAGTTTAATTTTCTAATTACTCGCATAATTGACATTGCATTTGGCCCGAAGTATCAGCACGTCCTCGGAGTCTGTAATCAACAATGGCGCAGGCTCCGACCAAAGCAGCAGACGGGTTAGAGAGAAGAAGGAAAAAAAAAAAAGGTCTTGCATCACAAAGCAGCCGATATAGTATTACCGGCCGTGTAATTTGGATAAGAGCAGCGTTGGTAACCGGAGAGTCGGACTCTCTGTATTTAATCCTCTACCGGTTCAGAAAATAAGAAAGAAAACAGGCCTATTTACCTTTGGGTGATGGACAGTTGGCATTCAGTGCCAGACGCTCACTGCTCTGCGGGAACGGGATATGGTCTATTTTTTCTCCTTCCCTTGTTTATGAAGAAAGAATCCAGAAAATGGGGAAAAGCAGGGATAAACAGGTTGATTAGATGTCTTGTGATTTTTGGAGAAACTACCGAACAATTCTTGTGTTCAGTTGACACAAATGCATATATTAGGGCTCAAGCGATGTCTTTTATTTAACTATAAGAACACAGTTTCGTTTATGAGTCTTAGAACCAGTGAAATCTGAGTGGCATGAAGACACAGTATACATGCAAGAATGATGCAAAATCTTAACTGATTTAATCTAGTCAAAAACTATTTAATCTTGTCAGAACTATTTAATGTGCAGGGTGGTGCAAAAAGAAGGAAACCCACTTTTGACAGCAATTTTCAACCTACTCGTTGAGCATATTTCAAAAATTCAATTTAATGGTATTAAAATATTGATCTTTTTAATAAAATTGACGAAAAATGATTACAAATGCATATTTTGTCTCTGAGATATGGTAGTTTAAAAATTTCATGTGCCAAACCAGTTTGTCCATGGACGGCTTTATTCCATCCGTTTGACTGAGCTCCGAAGCTTGATTTGAAGACTATAAAAAACACTACACTAGACTTACACGTGATTTTGGTGACTTGTATTCAAATTAGCATAATTACACTATTTTTGAAATTTTTTTTAAATATTTTTCACAACGTATGGTTGAAGAGCTATACTTCACTACTTTATGAAAAAAAATTCAAATAAGTTAAAATTCCTGTCAAATTTGGGTTTCCTTCTTTTTGCACTACCCTGTAGAATGAAACTGAGATACATGAAATAACGTTTACTCCCTTTTCATCTTTTATACGTACGTGTAGGTGTAAAAAAGGGACTTGGTTTCTTTGTAAATAAACGAAATTGGAACATAATGCGTTAACATGCATTAAAAAACCAGGCGTGGATTTTTGGCGGATTTAGGGTAATTTGGTTCGATTTGAATTAGTAATACAAATGCCAAACAAGCAAGGGGAAATAAAGGTGTTTCACAAATTGCAGACAGAGACGCAAATTCTAGCAAAGCGGTCTCTAATTATACTGTCAGTGTCCTCATTATGTATGCAGTCACTGAACCACATCCAAGTACACACGCTCGTGTGTCAAATATCATTACTTATCCTTCCCCAGTCACTCGCTTCTTCCCCATTAAACCCGAGCAGATAAAATAAACCTATACACGATGGGTTTACCCAACCATTTCCCCCTCTGCTATCCTGTACCACACAAGTACTCGTTATATCCTCACGGCTAGAGAAATTAACAAGTCTATTTGCTGCTATGTTTGTTTGTGTATAAAGAGAGATGGAGTAGCATTGCCGGAGACAGGCTCGGAATACAAAATGAACATTTCCTGCTGTGGCGTACAATCGGTGGAGCGTTGCGGCCACTGTCAGAGCCGTGGCAGCAACAACGCAGCGTTTGATGTGTCATCAATTAGTAGGCCCCAGCTCCTCTCGCCACTAACCTCCCGTCTTTTTTTGTATTATCATTCCCAAGGTCTTGATAGCGCCCCAGTAGATAAATGTGAGGCACTGTGGCAAAATGAGACAGAACTGGGCAGAGGTTGATATGAATAATAATAATAATAATTGTGCTTATATATAGCGCTTTCCATCGTATCAGTGATCTCAAAGCGCTTTACAATTATTACCCGGTTCATCAGGCCATGAGACCACGTGGCAGCCGATATCAGCGCTCAATCGGTCCTCGACCCTCACAGGTACCCATTTATACTCCTGGGTGGAGAGAGGCAATTGTAGTTCAGTGTCTTGCCCAAGAACACAAACACCGTGTTCATGGCAGGGTTCGAACCCACGCACCTTCGTACATTAGTCAAACACCGTAACCGCTGGACCATGGCATTCTACATAATGAGGGTTGGCGGGTATTAGGAAAGAGAATAACATTCTCCTTTTCAGCACTGTGTGTTGCACTTCAATCGGACATTCCTTTGACAAATTTTGGCTGTTTAAAGTTTGCATTTTTCAACATGTCAAAAACGTAAAATACTGAAAAAAAAAGGCCTTTACAGTTACATGTATGATGTTTGTAGTTGTGCAAGTGAAAGATGCCAGTTGTTTTTCCCATCAGAAACACTTTTATTCCATTTTAGAAATAAAATACTTATTTCTTTAAAATATGTGTGGTAGACATTTCCATTATTACAAAGATCAATGAAATTAATCATAAAAAAATCACCCCCATTCGGTTTTTGGCAGTTTTCTCCATTATGGCCTGTGTCCAGTTCCGCCTGATTTTGCCAGAAACTAATGCCTCGCAAATATGCTACATATCACATGCATTTTTGCATTTCAGACTGTACAATATGCGGAGCGCTCAGTGTGGCATGATATGCTGAATTATTAATTACGTAGCTTGTCGTTAGTAGTTAGGACAATTATGTGTTTATGCGTGAGTGAGTTAGCATTTTTATCTGAGTTATAGTCTTTAATTAAACCTTCCCAAATCCTCCAAAATCCTCTATGCAGAATGGAGGATTGTGCCGGATGGAGGCTTTGTGGCAAAAGTGTGTGGCTGATTTTGGAGGATGCACTGCGTCAAGGTCTTGGGCCGGACCTTGTGTTGTTTATGCTCAGCGGTGCGTAAATTTAGGCCTAGATTATACTTGAAATCCTCTGCACTGCTCCAGGATGTCACTGGCTCTGCCTCAACATGTTGACAGTGATTGCTGGAGGATTTTGCAGGATTGAGGCAGTGGTCACCCCTCCAAGGACCACATTCAGGAAATAACGGTGGATTTTGCTGGATTGAGGCTGTATGTAATTTTTTTACATGAAGGAAGTAGAAGGATTTTGCGGGATTGAGGTTGCATCCTAGCAAAAATGCCTGAGTTAGGGTTAATCCAGAAATCCTGGATTTTCGTTATCTGTATTTAAAATGAAAATCATATGGTAACATTAACGATTCATAATTTAAAAGGTGAAGGATGATAATTATTGTTACGGGAAATGGTACCTTTGGTAGACATTCCCAAAGACTTGTGCCCCAAAATATCTGAACTTTAATCACACTGTAGTATTGTCTGGATTATGGGCTCCGTGAACAAGTACCCCCTCAACGGTAAGAAAGGGAGAGTTGGGGGAGACTACTGGGAGAGACATTCTAACGCATTGCCGACGACACCTGACGCTCACGCGAGGGCGCTATGGCCTTGTGCACATTCAGGACAGAATTAGTTGCGTGTACTTTGCACCCCCCCTCGTGTTCCTAGTGTACACAGAGCCCATACCAGCATCCAGCCTACATAATGCATGATGATGATGATGATGGCCATTTCTAGCCTGACTTTTATGCTCACAAGGTTTTATCTGATCAAACCAGACAATAAAATGCTCGTTACATTGATTATCAGGTCTATTATGGACACGGTGAAAGGTCCGTCTGAACACGAGCATAAACAAATTTCATTTCAAAAAAGGTTGTTGCACTTTGGCGCAGCTCTTAAAAGTTGGAAGTGGGCAAGGCTAAAGTGAGGATTTTCGAGTTTGCTGTAAGAAATTATGGTCCTGGTTTATTGTACGGAAATATGGATAAAGCATCAAACTAAAAGCATGTGGATATTTTTATTAACCGTGAAAAATGTATTATTTTTAAGCACACATACATTAAAAACCAACTTCGTAAAACTTGAAATACTCTTGACACTTCTTCCAAAAATCCTTATCTGTTAGTTTTTATTGTGTTTTTTTTTGGTTTCTTTTCAGTCTTCTGACAATTTGCTGCAGGTGCCTGCCCCAGTCAAGCCAAGCATGGTGAACGTGAAGCAGGGTAAGTGGCTGTAATTCAGAAGCAATATTCTGGAATAGAAGCTGTCTTCGTAATTTTCAGGGTCCGATTGCATGGCGCTGCTAAGCACATAATTGTCTGCTAACAGATCCTCCATCTTGGTCATGGAGAGCGTAAGCATTAAGCACAGCAGAAGGCAAGCTTACCTCAGTTGCTTAAATCAGTGACGTAACAATAGAAATCTCTATGCTCATGCAACCATTTGCACATCAACGCCGTGAAATAGTGCTTAACCACTTCTCTCTGGGATTATTTTGACATGACCGGACCCAGGCGTGGGACTGTTTTCATGAACCTCGATGCCAGACGGGTTCAGGCCGTCATATGCGGGTAGCACACCCTGATATTTCTGGCCTCGCTCGCTGCGAGCGGGTCGCTGACAGATATTTCCGGCCTCGCTTGTTGCTTGTATATCCGTCATCCGTTCCGAATACCGTAAAATCTTTGCGTGTATACACGTCATCCGATGTGAACTGGTTAAGGTTAGCAGAATTTGTCTGCTTGGTAAGCACAAGTTTTCTGCTAACTGTTAAGCAGTGCCATAAAATCGGCCCCAGGTTTGCCGAAAGCTTACAAGCCATTTATGACATGTGGATAGTCTTGAGCTGTGCCTATTGAACAGCTTTTTTCCCAATTCTCTCATCATGTCAAATTCTGAACACTGGTCAACACAATTGACCCATACCTGATATAACCTCATTCACATTAAATAAAACCTGCATCTTTTCCCAGGAATAGTCTTTTCCCTAGGAAGTCAGTAAAAGAAAATTATGCCAGCAATCCCCTTAAGTCAAATTTTCCCAAATACCGATGTTTGGACAATCTTCAGGGGATCAGTTGTCACACTTGTACATAAAAACCCGTAAATCAAGCCCAACACCCACAGATTGTGCCCCGAAACCCCAAAGGCTCCTCAGCTGTCAAACAAAAATAACCTCGTAACAAAACAGCCCCCTGGTGAACGCAGCAGCAGCATGCCCGTCACTTTTTTTTCTGGATTATTCCTTCGCTATTATTTTACCAGCTTTCCTCCCAAGGATCAATTTCAGGTCAACCTTTAGGGTACGAACTGCCGGGGACAAATTTGTCCAGTGTTGCCCTACGACTTGTCGGGATCCATTTATAAGCGGTGTGTCGGGGCAGACCGCGACACTGAAACCGTAGAATTGGGACCCCATTGAGAAAGCCCCGTTTTAAACTGATAACGTTCCTGTTTGGAAACGCGACACCGAAGCCATTGTCCTGTATGTATTCAAGTTGTAGTTGCAGCGCAGTGGCCCTCTTCAAAAAAAGAAAAATGCCTCCCAATCTATCGGTCTAATTTGTCCAAAGTGTTGGTAAATTTGCACTGGATCCGTTGCGAGTTGCTATTCAGCCAAGCCACTGTGCAAACTATGGAAAGTAGTTCTTCATTGCTGTCATTATCTGCTTGTTGGTTTTCCCCTTTAAAAAAATGATATCAATAGGCAACGTTGAGTACATGTACAGTGAACTTGCTTGTATCAAGTTCATGAAGTGTTTCTAGTTGACACACAACTTGTACATATGTACGTTATCAATTTTATTTAAAATACTAGTACATTAGCTTAAAATAGATGTGCATGCCTGCCTGATATTCTGTGATAAAAATTTTGATGGGCATGTCTATTTGTCTAACTTGCCTAAGGCTACAGGGAATATTATATAGTCAATTAAATGATAATGCATTTGTAGAATGCTTAGAAAAGAATCCGCTTGTACACACAGCTTTGTGCACTACTCTTTTTCCTTCCCCCAAGAAAATCAATTCATGTGAATTTACATCCATATTGCTGCAAAAAATGTATTTTGCAATTCTGAGAGACACTCGCAAAAAATACATCTTTTATCCAAATCACTGAATATTGTCAAGGATTGTAGAGGTAGCACTCAACCTCATCCCGAGGGTACCTACTCCTTTCTGCTTCTTTTAGAGCCCCGCACAGTCCCCGCACTAATGGACAGACTGCGTCTGTAAATATCTCAAGGTTTAATGGACTTAAATATCCACAGATCCCCTGGCAGGATTGGAGGGGGGATACAATGCCTTGCTGCCAACCTGTAGCCGATTTCCTCCTCTGGCGTTGTTGTCGTGTTGCAACTTGCGAGTCATGGTCGCCCCTTATAGATCCTTCCAATTTTATTGGGGGGGGGGGGCAATTTTTTTTGGTGCCCTGAGGTTACTCAACTTGTCAAACAGCTGTTTTGGAACTCCACTAAAAGCATTGTTTTATTTTGCCAAATGACACTAACGTGCCTCGTATCTGTCATGTGCTCTTCATTCGTGATATCAGTAAAGTTGTGTAGATTTTAAAATGTTATACATGTTTTATCGACTGAATATTGGCCTGACAGACAAACTTCATTGTGTGACTCCAGACTTTGGGCGAGAGTTAAGAGTCATTGTAATTGACAAGGCTTTTGGACATCACAAATTTTATTATTGAGGGGGAATCACTGGAAAAAATGCTTGACCAGTTCACGTCGGATGTATTTGGAACGGGTGGAAGATAAACACACAACAAGCGAGGCCGGAAATATCCGTCTGCAACCCGCTCACAGTGAGCAAGGCCAGAAATATCAGGGTGTGCTACCTTGATACATGACGTGTATACACGCAAAGGTTTTGTGGTATTCGGAACGGATGATGGATATAAAACATGCAACGAACGAGGCTGGAAATATCTGTCTGTGACCCGCTCGCAGCGAGCGGCGCCGGAAATATCAGGGTGTGCTACCCGCAGAACCTGTCTGGCATCGAGGTTCGTGAAAAACAATCCCGTGTCTGGGTCCGGTCAATGTCAAACTAACCCCGGCGCAAACTGGTCAAAGGACTCCACATGTGGACTCAGAGGTGAAAATAGTAATTAAAATTAAAAACTATCCATAGGCTCCATGCGCAGACAAGAGAGGGCGCTTTTTTACAACTTCTGAGAGCCCAGTGGACGGGAAGCACAGGGTGGTCATACTGGTGCGTGTGTGTATGGGCTCCGTGCACAAGTATCCCTTCAACGGCCAGAAAAGGAGAGTTGGGGGTGACCTAGTCTGGTTCCTGATCCATCAACTGCCTATTTCGAATGTATCCAAAGTTATTGGAGGCGGGGATTAGTCTCGGAGACCATAGCAAGTTGAATTCGAACGTTTTCGCGCGCCAACAATGCCTGACGCTCACGTGAAGATGCGGTGTGCGGTGGCTACAACTTAGGCACATTCAGGAAGTCGTGCGTACTTCGCGCAAACCAGTACAGTACAGTATGACCACGCTGTGTGTCCCGTCCACGGAGCTCTCAAAAGAGGTGAGAACGTGCCCTCTTTTGTTGGCACACCGAGCCGATAGCGCGAAATATAGAGTTTTTGCGTGAGGCATCGTCGGCAATATGTTAGAATGTCTCTCCTAGTGGTCTCCCCAACTCTCCTTTTGTAACTGTAGAGGGCGTACTTGTGCACGGAGCTCATTGCATACCTCTTAAGCGTGTTTAAATGCCATTTTTTAAAACTTGTTGATGAAGCAACAAGCGTCTAAAGTGATATCCTGTAGGATTGTATTGCAAGCAGACCCACAGTTTATCAAGTACAATTATGACAAATTACCTTGACAATTTAAAAAAAAAAAAAAACTTCTGAGGGAATAGACTCACTCTCGTGACTTGGACATGGACTTGACCTGCGTGACTTTGAATTCGGACTCAAGACTACAAGTTAAGCACTGGGGCTCAGGGTTGGAGAACTCGAACACGCCAGGCCGAAAACCCTAAAGGGAAACCCAACGCCCCAATCAATTATCCTCAGCAGGTCCCTCTCCAAACACCACAATAATCTGGAACAAGCAGAATCAGAGCAAATAGCGCCCCGCGGACCTTCAATTAATCCATACTCCGCCCAACCCCTCTTGTTTTTATCGTTCCTTTTTTCTTATTCTCGGATATCGCTTTTTCCTCGTGGCACACGTATACTCATTACCTCCAAACGTTGCATCTCTTGCTTATCACCGCTGCCGGTCTCATCTGCTGATTTTCTTGGACAGGGACCCGGGGTTTTTGGACCGCGCCTCGCCCCGAGTAAACTGCAGGATACAGTAGAATCCACCTGCTCTGACCCCCCAAGCTAGTATCTTCAGTTGTGCGATTCAGGACCCTTCAAATCTTGCCATCTCTCCTTCCAGGCATGTACATGAAGAAGGGATTATCGTGCGAATCTAAACTGATCCCATTTTTTTTTTTTTTTTTTTAACTATTCTTCTATTTCAATGGTGCACTGCGCAGTGTGTACATTGTAGGCCATTACTTAATAGATTTCCCAATTTTCCGAAATCCCAATTACGGTAACTTATCGATTATAGATAACAACTGGCTTTCAGAGAATGTATCAACATATATTTCCGTTGAATGCGGCTTTTTTCGCATGTGTTTAATACTAAGAACAATTTACCTGAAGGATTGCTTTTAAACGTTATGACACGCTGTGAACACACATATTTGGGTCATACATCATTTAAATGGGTCATGAAAATGTGCTCAATTCATTTTTATGATCACAATATTAATATGGTAGGAAGCACTTAAAATGCATGTCACACACAATTAAGCACAATCAATTGATATAAACAGGCCAGATACAACCTACATTTATGTGGTGTGCATTCAATAGGGGACGTTGAACAATAGAGGACAATAGGGCCGCCAAGTCCCGAAGGTCCCCAATTTGGCGATCGTGTACAAAACGTATGGGAGGTCTTCCTAAAAGTTAAAGTGCAAACAAAAGAGGGACAATACTGTAGGCAAATATACACTTGTGTGTGTGTGTGTATATAGAATATGTCAGGGTTCAACACTGGGAGCACTTGTCACAAGAGGGCGGTAGACTAACCCTTCAGCACTGGCCACAGCTGCTTGCATCTAGCATCAATTTACGATAATGCAGAAAGAAATAATGAAGTCTGTGTACAGTGTTATGTATATAAGTAGCAATGTGCGAGTGTGTTTAGAGTTTCCAGAAATCACAGGCTTCCATAAAAAAAAATGTGTCTGAATTTTCTTAACAAACAAATTGATATTAATTTATACCTCATTAAACCAGCAAATTTATGTCATTTTATTGACATGTTTGACACGACAGCATTTGTTAGTGAAGCCACTTTATCACATTGAACACATCTCGGAAAGATTTTTTTGACTTGCGCCTCTGTTTTTCCAATTTCGGTGATTGATTTTTCCAGTCCAAATCATTTCAGAGTATGGTTAGTGCCTGTACCAACATCACAGTTGGAGAAAATCACATCAATATATTTCACAAAAGTGCAATTGTCCGTTTACACTTGTGTGAATTTGAATAACTGAGTGATATTTCGGCCGTCAGCATACAGATATGCACGGCCTACGCCGTCGTCCTTTCACCGAGGTTTGAAGTAACATGCATTGTTTCCCCTTGATTAAACCTCCGCGGCCCAGCCAATCTGTCCACTTCAGTAGAGCTGTGCAAATGAAGGCAACCTGGCCAGAAAATAAATTTTGTTTCTTGGGGAGAAAACAAGTACAGAAATAAAGGAATTAGGTAAAATTTCAAATCACATCTATTTTGTGCATGATGGCATATTGCACTAATTGACTGGAGTTAGGTTCAAGATGTGTACTGAACAGATATGTTTAAACTAAATTATGACTGTCTTGTTTGACTAAATCTCTTTGTATGCATTTCATTTCAAATTTATTGTCAATTAGGGTTACATTAGATAATATTTAAGTGAAAAAATTAGTTAAAGAAGGACAAAGATATGCAGAAGTAACAAATTTGAAAAAAAAATCTCTTGTGTAGTAGTTTGAAAATGTCAAGAAATTTAGGAATCAAATTTCAAGTACATGTAGAACATTCACACACACCTAAAATTTGATTAAACATTACTGAAAGCTTTCAGATGTGGTTAGAATCGATTTTGAGTTTGAGTTAAAAGCAAAAAACAGAACCACAGGATTGGATATAACTCAAAACCCAGAAATAGGTAGGTACTAAAATCCTGGGTTGGCTAGGTTACCGCAATCACTGCTTCGGTTTTGGTTTTGTTGTTTTTTAATTGCGCCATTCTTGCGTCATGACTGAGCAGGTTTGCCAGCCAGCCGCCATGCTTCATTACATTCATTGCCTAGGACAGACCGAGCGTACGTGATGTCTTCCCCCTCATCTCTTCTCCTTTCCCATCTTCTGCTTTTTCCCTTCATTTTTTTTTTTTGCTCTCCTCTTTTCTCCCCCTCGTTTTGTCCCTTCCCTATGCCATCACAATCTCCCTCCTTGCAATGGTCTAAAAATACAGCTCTGTCTGATCATATCGCAAGCTCCTCGCATTGCTTCAGGGGGGCCTAGTGGTTCTCATTGGCAATAAATTTGTCGGGATCAGATTTTTTTTTTTTATGACGCACACGAGCGGGGCCGCTCCGCACACACCGGTCTTGTTGATGCGTTGGCACAGTGCAATCGGCCAACACACATCTAAACTCTCTACAAATCCGTTGTGGGAAATCATACTTTGAATTAAATACACATCCTTTGGAGGGATACCGGTAGATACCCTTGGGTTTTGAAGAGCATGCACGTATATATGATGTATCAATAAACTCCCATCTAGGCCTCTGTGGATGGCGGAATGTTTTTCTTGTGCGCCGCGATTTTTTGCAAGATTTGTGTCTTCGCAGTGTTGATCCGAAAAACTGATCGCCGATGATGTGTACTTGCGTCATACTTCATCAGATACCCTAGGTGCCTCAGCGGTCGGGGAAAACACGAAAACACTGCCATTTGGAGAAAAAAAAAAGAAGAAAGAAAAAAACCTTAATACAGGCCTGGAATTAAAGTGGCGTGATGTCAATCATTGCAGCCCTTGTTCGTGGGATGTCGTACTTCACTTAAAAACCTCCACTGTGCATTTTGTTTGGCTTGTACGGCCGACGGGCATATGCACGCGTGACAACCCGTTTTTTATTTTTTTCTTATTTTTTCTTGTATTCAATCAATTTTTTCCCATCCATCGTCGGGTTTGAGGTTGTGTTGGAGTCTGAGGGGGGGGGGGGGGAGTTAATGTTTCCCCAGCGCCCGGCATGTTTGATTAAGATAAGCACAAGTGTGTAAATGTCACTCCTGTCAGACATAACTGCTTCGCTGTGCGTAAAGTGATACTGCCAATTCCGGAAATTCTGTGCCATGATTTAATGGGAATTGCTCAGTAAATCTTGAAACTCCCCCCCCCCCAAAAAAAATGTTGTCACCAATATCCAGAAAAGAGTATTTAGGAGGAGTTGGTAATTCCCAAAGGATCAGGTGTCTCTCATTTTTATGCAAGCCCCTCGAGATATTGTTTTGCTCTCGTAGTTTGACACTGTCTCTGCCTCTCCCCATTTGAAATGAATGTTAATATCGGCACATGATCCTTTGATAACCTGCAGTCATTGAATTAAAATAACAAAAAAACACTCAGCTTCACACATAATTATAAACTTTTACTAAACCACACCTTATAAGAAAATAGAGACTGGTGATCATTATGAAATCAAGCCTGTGAGATTTGTTTGCTTCCGGGGAAGTAGACGGAGATAACTATGGTTCGATGAAAGATCAATATGTGCATTAAGCATCATGCAAGTGTCTATCATCAGTTGAAAATTCGCAATGTATAAATGAAGTATTTATAAATGAGGTCATGGCCCAGTAATAAACTCTTTGAAATGGTAGCCATTTAAAAAAATGCACTGACTTTGTTGCTCATACATTGTCCCTCGATCCCCATGAGAAAGTCAACATATTTGGTGTTTTTTGTTTGTTTGTTTTTTAATTAAAGCACATAGTGTATAAAGTAAACAACAGAATATTTTGTGTAATTTACAGTAATCTTGGAGCATCTGTAAAGGGTCATCTATTTTTCTCTGTACAAATGTTTAGCCACAGCAAATTGTTTGAAGAATCAATTTAAAACATGTCATTTGTTTTCTTTTCGAAAGATTTTTTTTTTTTTCATTTATCTTTCAGAAGTCAAAGTCAAACCAAGTTCTCCGATCAGAGAAACTGCACCACCTGAGAAACCAGTAAAACCAGAGTGAGTACCAAGTGCACGTATTTATTTATTCATTTATTTCTTATTTTAACTGGGTAGCCCATTCAGTGGAATCCACTGGTCTCCCATGGGGCCCAGTAAAGGGAAGACAATGCGAGGAAACTTACAGTTGTAGATGTGGGAGGAAAAGCCCCGAAGAGTATTCTGGGGAAAACCCATGGAATCAGGCAGGTTTCGAATCCGGGTCACAGCGGTGGAAGGCGAGGAAAGTACCGCTACGCCAACCTGACTCCCTTATGCCTGTATTGTTTCTTTCTTCTGTTTTTTTTTCCCTGGGCTTTGAAAGCCCAGGAACAGCGGTCACACCTGGTCACAGCGGTGGAAGGCAAGGAAAGTACCGCAACGCCAATCTGACTCCCTTGTGCTTGTATTGTTTCTTTCTTCTGTGTTTTTTTTTCCTGTGCTTTTTGGGCTTGAAAGCCCACTGCCTTGCATCAGTGGACTCAGCGATCATGTTGTTGCACATGCTGTGCATTTTAAGCTGCCACCCTCACACGTCTAACTACTAAACTAGCTGAGAGAAGTGCATAGGCCTACATTATATCACAAGTGTGCCAACGTAAGACATCAAACGAAGCCTATAGGGTGCTTTCACGTTTGATCGCAGAGCTGTCAAAAACCCCACACAGGTTTCATAGATCTGAGCTCAATTTGTTAAGCAATTTGTATTCGTGTACCTCTGTTTGTAACTCGGAATTCCTTTCTGTGCAGTTACAAGACCTCAATGCTATTACTGTAACAATTGCCGTGGCTATAGACCTTTATCATGCTGCCACCATTTCAGTCCTGTTCCCTGTATCCACTAACAGTACTGAATGATAATGTTTTTTGTGCAAAAAAAGAACCAGACTATTTTTCCTTCCAGCCTCGCTTTGGTTACATTGATTTGAATGGGAACAATCAGGAGTGCCACAACATGATAATGGTCTATTAAAGTAGGATATAGCCATACGTGTACTTGTTAACTGGATCCAGCAATTCTCAGCTTAATTAATCCTAACTCCGTGGGGATTTGCTAGGAACCTTCCTCATCCTTGCAAATCCCAACACATATGGTAAACTGTGCACATAAACAGTTGGACTCTGTTTATTTGTGGTATGCCTAATCCCATGTAAGCGCAGTCAGTTTACTAGTGCAGTACTCATCCTAACAGATTCCAACAAACCCTGACGTTGGAGTTTGGCTGGGTGGGGATCGTTAGGGTTAAGTATGCAACAGAGCAACACATCCCTGTCAAGTGTTCCGGAAGTTCATGAATGCACTTGATAATTTGATTGAGAACGTACAGTGTTCCAATGGCCATATACCGATATTCCATTTTTTGTGTGAATATGCACACCCACTAGTCTGGTTTAATTACCCCCACTTGGAGACAGTCTGATTAGCCGACCTCGGTACACAATTACCAGCAATTTCCTGTCACCATTCACTGTCCATGTATCACAATTGTAGTTAGTGTTTCAATTTCAAGGAAATAGGCAGGTGTTCTCAAAGCCATGTCGTCTCAATCCGACAGCAGCTCGATTTCATGACGAGCTTTTGACCTGATTCAGTTCAAAGCGTTGTTTAATTTGATCTCTCTGGATTGGTTATGGTATTCCTTATTACCTTTTTGTATTTTTTATTATAAATATTCCCGCCCCCGGAATATATAAATGTCTTTACCCTGAGTTTCAGCAATTCTGGGCTCCAAGTGCCGGCACAGTAGACCGCAGTGCCTATCTCTACAGTACAGATGAAAATAATGTATCCTGCTTAAATTGCCGTCGAGTACCGTTCATTCTCCGAAACAGCTTTATTTTGAAAATAAATCAATCTGTCGATCCTTTCTCACAAATCTCTCGGCCTTTCTCCAACCCTACCCCTACAAGTAACCCATGTATAATGCGCGGAGGGGTAAAGTAACAAATTTGCCAGATTTTGAAAAGCTCTGTAGGGGATTACGGGCTTCTGATACCCGATCTAAGTGATACTTGATCAGCGTAATATACAGGGACACAAGAGCAGCAAGCTGGCAGGCAGGGCCCAAGGGAGATGTGGCTCTTCGCTCTTCTGAGATATTTTTTTTTCTTCTTCTTCTCCTTACACCGTTCTGTAGTGCGCATTAATTATAATAATGATGAATAAATGTTCTGTGGATTGTGGTAGTTTTTTTTTTAAAGTCATATCAGGGATAAGAGCTGGATAGGATTCAGCAAGGTTCATTTGGGGTGATGAACACCATATGTTACGAAATACTACGTTGTATTTTGTAGTCTCTTTGTCTTTGCACTTTCAACAAATCAAATGTACAAAATACTACATAATTCATTGGGGTGAAGTACCTAATGCTCAATACAATACAGGGTGGTTAAAAAAAAAAGGATACCCACTTTTGACAGCAATTTTCACCTACTTAATGAAATTATTTTAAATATTTTTTCACATAGTATTAAAGTATAGTCCTTTGACCATGCATGGTGAAAAAAGCTTAGTAAAAGTCGCAAAAATAGTGATATTATGCTAATTTGAATACAAGTCACCGAAATCAGTCTTGTCCATGGGTTATTCTATGTAAATTGGACGTTTTCGTAGTTAAAAAAAAAATTAAAAAGACCTCCCACCAAAATATATTTTGCCCTGATAACTTTTATTGAAGCTGTCCAATTATTCATGTCGGTGTTAAGATCATCTTCTCAATGAGCTGTCGGCTTAAGTTCATTGCTCCATAACATGACCTAACATAACTATCAAGTGCCATGCCCTTTCAAATAAAGCTCTGATAGCTGAGCTCAAGTCAAGCGAAGGGAATGCCTACCTCTGTGGACAAACAGGTTTCGCACATGAAATGTTCAAATTAGCATAGCTCAACAACAAAATGTGCAAATGCAATGATTTTTTTCCGTCACATTTGCTTAAAGGCCAGTACTTTAATAGCTACTAATCGACAGTTAAAAATAATTTTTTAAAATAGGTGAAAATTACTGTCAAATGTGGGTGTCCTTTTTTTTTTAACCACCCTGTACTGTACACTAATAGGCTAGAGAATTGCATGTACATACATGTACATGTATACTACAAATTACTTTGAGTATTTTTTTTTATAGCTTTAGGAAAGGTCAGAGTTTGATGAGTGGTGATGATAAAGGTGACTGTGGTGAGTGTCTGAGGTGATGATGGTGAGCCAGATTGGGCAACAAACCTGTATATTGTCACAAAAAATTCACCCCCCCCCCCCATTTAAAGGTAATAAATTTTGTAAACATCAAAAACAAAACTTCCAAATTATTATGAAATACCTCACTTGACTTTAAGTGCATAATAGTCTCAAGCATCCTGTGAAATCATGGCACCTGGTGTGCTGTCATTTTCAGGAAAAGTGGAATTTATGTACCAATTTCCAACGATGGTCAGCTGACCATCGTTGGAAAAAAAAGTTGGCCTTTTTTTTCTTCTAATTCTTCCCCCAATTTACCACATTTAGTTAGTCCACATTTTGTTCGCAAGTCGGTTACACATCCGTGAACGGGTGCAAGCCAGCTAGTCTGGTTCCCTGACCATATAATTCCCCAACATCTATAAATTGCTCCGTTTTGTCTGAAGTAGGGTCAGGGAACCAGAGTACAAGAACAGCATTATTTTCTTGGTTTTTCCCTGCATCTATGAACATGACACTTTAAACAGGTCAGTGTAACAATATTTTCTAAAAATACCAACCCCCAAATTTTCATTTCTGAAAATTACAGCAAAAGCAGATGTTGTATACTACCTTTAACCCCTGCACCCACATATTATGCATCTGTGATGCCATAAATTATATACTGAAAGTCTTTTCAGCTGGGTTACTACAAAGATTTATGACAGGAATACTGTGAAGGACGCCAATAATTGTATGGCGATGACCTTATTGTTAGTTGCCAATCAAATAACCATTAGGTGAGATCGCTAAGTTGAGAATTACTTTATATATATGATGGTCCTCTCTAGTGACATGTAGTCTTAACCTATAGGTGATGGATCTATGTTTAATTTATTGAATTTGTAAAAAAAAAAATCATATCAAGGCTAAGCAGTGACTACATTTTCCCCCAGTCCAGTACAGTGTTGTATTTAATCTGTAAGATCATCCACTAGAAGAAGTCCGGAAGAATTTTCGCTTGGAATAAATCGGATCAGACTGAGCAGTGGTAGGATAATGACAGACATGCATTAAAACCCTCCAGCGTGTTGATATTGTTAGAGAGACGTCCCCCCCCCCCCCCAAGAAAAAAATGTTACTAGTGAGTAGTGTCGGTCCTGGCAATATGCATACAACAGCCCGATTGCCGTACCAGGTAATACAAGTATCAACGGTTGTATATCACTAACGTGCGCCGACTAAAGAGCCCTCATCTATCTTCCTCGTATGACCCCAACTGACATTTGCAGTGAGCCGCAGCCTAATAATGAGAAGCGAGCAAGCAGCCCGACCATTCCCCGCCCCCTAGGGGTGGCCTGTCACCCTTCTAAATGCCTATCTGCGTGAAACCTTACGGTGCGGGTAACCCGTGTCTGTCTACACGGGTTTACGCTCTTACAAAGGCCTTGTTTAAGATCAGGAATGTTCAACGCACGGCTTAGGTGTTCCCGTTGGATTTTTTTACCTGCGGTGTTTGCTCCTCCTGGGGGGCCGGGTCCCCCACCTGCTGCGGAAATGGAGCAGGCCTAGATTGGAAGCCCTTCCAGCGGTGGGAGAATGCAGCTAGGCGACTGCTATTAAATTACGACCCCTGGTATGGCATCTAAGCTCGAAGGAATGAAAGCATTGCGGCTCATCAGGCAAGTAATATTACAATCTCCTCCATCCATCCAACCCTGACTGTGAATTTGTTCATTCCCACAGCACTCACTCGTTGGCCTGGATATGCAGGAAACACTCCCCCGTGTTGTCTGTAGCTTTATCCCAGATAGCGTCCGTGTATTTAACGTGCCTGTCTCCAGTAGCGTGTTGTTTACAAACAAAACCC